ATATTTCAAGAACAGGAGTACTTAATGCTTTCATACCAAGATCAGAACATGGATGTGTAAGCTAAAAATAATGTTAATAACTAACGTAATATAATCCTTAATAAGTAAAACACTGCTTTATGGGGTGAAACGATGCAAGATTCCTCGAAACACTGACGCCGTGGAACTTTCACGGCCGTAACGTCGAGAAAACTATGCTGATTAGCAAACTCAAAGCAATCGAACGTATATTTTTGTTGCCGCAATGAGCGCGGAGTATCAGCTACTGAAATATTATTGTCAGGCAAGCAAGTCAACGAAAATGAAGCGAGGGACATCCACATGCTGCATATGCATATGCAAACATAACTGTGGGGTCTTGAATACCATCAAGAACCATTACTGTTTAAACCGGTAGCGTTAAAAGTTGCTTATTAAATATTATCTTTGAATTGCAAAATGCTACAATGTCAAACATTTTATGTACTCAAAAATTGTGGCAAACTTTTTCACGTTTATTTCAATATTTGATTCATTAGCAAAAACCCATATCATGAATCACAGAAAATTCCATCGCCCGAACCTGGTATCACATACATACTCTTAAGCGATATTGACTTCATATTTTATCCATGTACAAGAACGCACACATTCGTGCTTTATGCAGCAGAAAAATACCTGAGAGTGCTAAGGTATACGTATGGAAAGCGACATTAAGCAAGCTAACTTGTAATGTGTTGGCCATTATTTATTACAGCAATAAATTAAGCTTAACAGATAAAACAAATACCGCAAAGATTCGCTGAACAAAGAGGTGAACCCTTACGACAACAAAGAACTCTGACTCAACATAACACTAACCAATGCACAAAGTTACTGGACAGAGCTACTGAGAATCTTCTGGAACTCACCGACTTCGTGAATATTGCTCGAAAGACGGGCAAACGAATTGAACAATGCCACGACGTCATTCCTCTGCAACTGAAATCGTTTCCTGTCTCTTACGCCAACCTGACCAACGTGACTAACTCTCGGCAGGTCAGAAAACAAAATCCTCAGAGCCGTTCCAATTCCATGAGTCTGTAACTTTCCCCAGAGCCTACACTTGTCACAGTCAACACAATCCATTATTCTAGAAATGTTCATAAAGTGAGCGCGAAATTCCGCCTTCAGAGACATCGCCAAAATCGCGTCCCCCTAAATTAACATCCGTCGAAGAACAGAAATGACATTTGTCGAACGAATACCTGGAAGAGGCTATTTTCGTCAAATGGGGTCTGAAACGACTCTATTGCGTGAATCATCTTCGAAATGAGGTCCATTGTCTCCATGTCATTTTCGTCACTGCCCGTGTAAAAGAGGTCTTGGCTGAGGTAAGGAGCTACTTTCTGCAGAGCTCTTAGCTCCAACAGATACAGGAAGTACAAATTTTTTAACCGCTGCGGTCCTTCGCCATTCGTGTATTCAGCACCAAAACGATATTTGAACATATCCACGTTTCTATGCCATGTTCCTTCAGTTAATCCACTGGCTCCTAAGGTAGAGATACGGCTTCATAACGGCGAAATAAATACGCATTTACATTAAATAAACTAATCATCATGCTACAGGAATCAACACGTGTGGGAAACTTCACACACCGTCTGACGAATACCGTGAAATGAGCTTATGCAATGCACAGCTACAAAATGTGTGAAGCGAACGTAATACTGGGTATTACGGCAGTACCTTAAATTATAGCACATCTTTCGACGCCATCTCGTTTCTCTTGCGCTTCTCATCACAAGCATAAATTCGTATAAAAAAACATCTGAATTAAGAACATCGTATGAAGTACTACAGTCTTAAGAAATGCTGACACTATGAAAAAGTCGATCTGCGCTTGTACAGTCAGTCACAAGCCCTTTGTGGCGAAGTTAAGGCCAAGACCCTAATATGAACATGGTTCGCGATTTAACAGAAAGTCTCGAAGGCACTTGTACGTGATTTTTTGTGTTATTTTTTTCTATACAGACAATCAGCAAGATCTCTGTAATTTTCGTCTTCACAGTACCCTGAGGAAAAATACTAAACGATAACGTACTACAGTGCATAACATTAAATGATATGATTAACAGCAATGGCATCTACGTAACTTACATCTATGGATCACCGTTTTCCTGTTATGACCTCCAAACAGTGTGTTAAGGAGACAATATTGAGTTATACAGACAAATATATTTTTATCTATCAAAATAGTTGTGTCAAAAAGAGAAACATGTAAATCGTGTAACCTAACGGAAGGATTTGCACCCCGTCGCAATAATCCTCATTC